TTAACTGAATATCTCTCAACAGTCGTAAGCAGAAGTTTATATAATAAAGAGATCTATATTGTATTCTCAGGTATCCAATATATAATCCAATCTGACGGGTTTACATTATACTTCGAATACTTTATCTACTTCTAGCTGGTACGTCGATTTCTGTTCATTTTGACTAAACTGCTGTTTGTGTGTGACAAAATTTTCATATTAAGGGGTTAGAGTACGTTAGCGTAAGGCTTACGTGCTTACGTTTCGTGCCTAATGGTACTCATCAACGAGACCTTTAAAGTTGAATAGTGAAGTACCTATTGTTCAGCACCCACTGACACATTTTCAGGTTTATGGTAGAAACGAACATCAGTTTCCTACAAGATTAGAATATTCCTTACTATATGTGTTAAAAAGTATCAGAGATAAGTTCAGACCTTAAATTTCACGAGTTCTAAACAGCTGACACTAAAGTAAAATATCACTGTGTCATTTCCTTCTCATTTGTGAATATACTACAAAATTTGAATAGTACATTTGGATCAGTACCTGAGAAACGATAGTTATCCTCCAGTCATTACCAGATGACTGATTCATGCAGAAATGATTTTCATGATAACCGTTCACATTGTCTCTGAGACATCCTGAACGACTAGCATGGTTCATTTGCCACAGAATTTGTATGTTTTACAAAATAAGAATTACAGGATTAAATTTCGTCTGAATGAACAATATTTTTAAATAATGTTAAAGTGGTTCTGGTTAATTTTTGCTGATTTTAATGACAGTTATCCTCTGATGATCAATTCTGGCATGTAGTCCATTCTTACATAGGGTCAACTGCGGTGCTTATAGATTAGTAGTAAATTCTTTGTCTCAGTAACACAGACTCAACCTAAGGAACAGCGATTTCTTTGTGACTGTAGATAGGCCTTGTTGATGTTTACCAACTAGTAAGACTTCCTGTCTATTGAATTCTTTTGTCTAATACCAAAAGACAATGCGCTACAATTAAGCGTCAGTTACCTTTACGGCCACATTGCAAAACTTGATCGATAAACTTCAATCAGTGTTAAGTACTAAGAACTAGACCGCCTACATATGTGACCCACTGGTTACAAGTTCATGGTTGCAATTGTACCAGAAGATAGTGAGGAAGTAATAAAAATAATATTTGATCACAGGGTACAGTGATTCCTGAAGACAGATATTTGAGAAAGTCTTTCAGTGCTAAATTAGTCACAAACCAAATAAAGACACGCTTCATAAGATAAAGTATACAATATATAATAATAGTTTGCTTATTTCTCTCAATACTTCATTTTTCAGTCTTAGTGAGATATTCAGTAAAATGTCTGCTGAAAAGTCAAGACGGATGTTCTTTATTGTAATTTGAACCTTGATTTATTAGAGTAGTGCAAAATAAAAATGAATGACACAAGTCAGAGGAAAATTAACTTCTTTACTGAGAATGTTTTTCAATCATGGTATTCACTGTCTTCAGCTGGTAAATCTCACAACCTTGATGACTCAATTCTAGTAGCCCATAAACGAATATATGGCTTAAATCAACACCAAAGGAGTTTGTTAAAGGCTAACTTTCTGATATTTGTTTCATTCTTTCTGATCGTTTGGCAATCTTAGAAATAAATTATCAATAGTCATGTGAAAGATATGATCTAATTCCTCTAGTCTTTATGAATTCACCGTCTTTTACGTATCCTAACAATAGCGTACCATGAACACACACTCAGTTTTGGAGTGGCTATCATGATGTCCCCAACAGCATCGAAGGCTCTCATACAGTGAGAACCAATCTCCTCCTGCAGGATCATAACAGAAAGGTTCAACTCAATACGAAATCAAGTCACAATCATACAATGCTAGGCTACGCTATGCATCTACAAATAATGCAGATGAAGAGGAGAAGGAGGAATTCTACAGACAACTGCAATCAACACTGGACAAGACACCGCTCAAGTTGGCGATATCAAAATTCATTCTGATGGGTGGGGTGACATGAATGCCAAACTGGGAGTGGACAACACAGGAAGAGAACTAACCATGGGTCGAGAAGCACTCGATGAGGTGATGAACGAGAATGGAGAATTGTTTGTAGAATTCTGTGCATTCAACGATTTGGTGATTGGAGGTGAGGCAGTGTGTTCAAGTACAAGGATATCCACAAAGCGACATGGATTCGATTTCACCAGTTACCAGATGGACACACTAAAAATCAGATCGACTTCATCTCAATGTGAAGCAAGTGGAGATGAAGACGCAGCCTACTAGACAGAGGTTCAGATCACGAAGAGGAGCAGATGTAGGTTCACACCACTCACTATCAAGTGCAAGGAACCTAACTTCAAAATCAACTTGAAAGCCTACAATTCAAGGAAGTTGGTGATAGACCACAGTTCTAGTTCAACACCCAGAACAGAAACTCAACTGAAGGACGAAACTACAAGAGACATCTTCACGTCAGCCATCAAGACAAAATGGGAGATATTGAGGAACATCGCTGAAGAAACCTGTGTGGGAGAGCACTGGAACTCTTTGGAAGCTATATGGAAAGGAACCTGCATAACTGTATAAGGGAGGAAGAGGAAAGAAGATGAGGAATGGATGTTGACGGACACATGGAAGCTGATAGAGGGGGAGGGGAGAGGAAGATGGTGATGGTGAAGCAGAAGATGAGTCAGTGTCAAGATGCACAACGCAAAGAATAACTGAATACAATCTATAAAGCACCAGCAACAGCAGAAATACCATTGAACAAATACCCTCCGACGAAATCAAAAGTCCTGAATGCCATAAGACTGCTGAAATCTGTGAAAGCAGCAGGACCAGGTGTAATTCCGCCAGAAGCACTGAAAACAGACTCAGAGATAAGAGTGGACATGCTCACACCACAACTGCAGAAGGTTTGGAAGGAAGGAAATGAACCTCCCCATTGATTGGAAGAAGGGCTACCTTGTTAAACTTCCAAAGAAGGGCGACCTAAGCTTTTACAAGAACTGGAGAGGAATCATGCTCCTGCCACTCCAGACAACATATTAGGCCGCATCATCCTTTACGGACCTAAAAATTGCTTTGCATTCAAAATAACCACCAGAACAGGCTGGCTGGCTTCAAGAACAACAAATCATGTGAGGATCAAATTGCAACACTATGCATCATCATGAAACAGAGTATAGAATGGCAGTCAACTCACCTCATCTCAACTTCATCGACTTTCGAAAGGTCTTCGACAGTGTCGAACGACAAGTAATTTGGTAGTTGCTCCAACACTACGGAGTACCACAAACTTTTATCAACCTCATTCAACAGCTATACGAAGGCGCCACATGCCAAGTAATTCACAACGGAAGCTCAGTGACTCCTTTGAAGTGAAGACAGGAGTAAGACAAAGCTGCCTACTATCAACACCAATGATCTTCCTGAATGTGGTTGACTGGATCATGCAGCAGACAACTGTGAGGATCGACAAGATGGGCATACGCTGGCTGGACCGATGAAAAGGGCCTAGGAGGTTTTGATTTCGCCAATGATTTATGTGTAATGTCGCAGAAACTCGGAGATCTACAGGTGAAAACCAACAAGTGGACAGAATGAGCAGGGCAGCGAAGACGGGACTTCAAGTGAACGTGGAGAAGACATAGGTGATGAAGACACCCAATTAACAACAGCATCAACAACAAGAGGCACCAATCACCATGAACGAGGAAACCTAAAGGAAGCAGTTTCTTTCACCTACCTAGGCAGGCAGCATCATTTCAACTACAGGCGGCGACACAGACAAGGATGTCAAAACCAGGATCGGAAAAGCAGCAAGATAGGCTTTCACCAATCTGAAATCAGTGTGGAGATCTACTGCACTCAGCACGAAGAACAAGATCCGCATTTTCAACACCTATGTCAATTCAGTGCTGCTATATTGTTCAGAAACGGCGTGTCACGAAAAGCATTTCCACCAACTTAAAGACATTCATCAACAGCTGCCGCCTATGCCCGCTCACTCGATACTGAAGATCAGATGGCCGGAAAGAATAAACAACAAGGAAATCTGGACCACCAACGAACCAACCAAGAACCTATCGCTGAACATATATGCACTGGAAGGAAGTGGAGATGGATTGGGCATGCACTCAGAAGACCATTCGGAGACATCACACTCCAGGTCAGGTCCTCGAGTGGAACCCATATGGGAAACGGCGAGTTAGGCGTCCGAGGGTGACATGGAGGAGATCGTGTGAGGAAGAAATGAGAGCTTGTTGGCAGTCTTGGAGCCAGGTTCAAGAGACTGCAGAGAACAGAGTGCGATGGTGGTGTGCTACTGGAGTCCTGTGTTCCACTAGGAACCCAGGGGAAAAATAATAATAATAAACCTCAAACTATAGTACTTTTTACTGCAATTTTTACCAATTTTGTAAATAGCTGTTAATTTGTCCACTAAAAATGGTATCTTGTCAAGGTTGTACCGACAATAGGTAATAAAATTTTAGGTGGTTTGCTGATCTATTCAATAAAATGATAAAGCAATACGCCTGAATTTCTCTCTTTTTTTATCCTAAGAATCCATACTACTTAATGATGTAAGCCTCAAGCAAGTTGTTAAGCCATTGTCTCCATGTTGTTAAAGTGAAATGAGTTGGAGATATGATTATTTTTGTTGTCTACATTGTTTGAAACCATACGTGAATGTATATACACTTTCGCTTTGTATTCACACACACACAAACGTGCATCCTCGATATTATACACTTTGAATAACCCAAAAAATTTGCCAAACAAGAAATGTGGAATTTAGTTGGGTGAGATTGCCTCAAGCGAATATTTTCAGTCAAATTTGAAGGCTAAATTTTATATACGATACACACACACACAGACTAACTCGACAACATATATACAGAGATTATGGAAACAAGTTGTTGTTAATCCGAAAATAAGTATCCTTTTTTGCTTGCTTTCATGCTAACAAATTGACAACATAATTATGCAATGGCAACAACGAGGAGTAAATGAACATCAATAAAACCATCATCGTTATCATCAACATTCCCATCACTACTACTACTACTACTACTACTACTACTACTACTACTACTACTACTACTACTACTACTACTACTACTACTACTACTACTACCACCACCACTACTACTACTACTACTACTATTATGAATGGTAGTAGTAGCAGTAGTAACAGGGTTTCACGATTATCTGTGTCTCCTACGGGATTTACGAATTACTATATGTTACAAAAAGTCAACAAAACAATAGATGAAATGTTTTTCGCAAAGAAACTTTTTGTCTATGTATATCACCCTCTAAGTGCTTAATGACTCTATAGTTGTTTAATTGTGATTCAGTGAGACTGCCAGATCGATCTTAAACTGTGTGTGTTTTCTGGACGTTCAGATGATACAAGGATTACTAGTTACTGGGTTGGTAATTGTGATTACTTTGTGAGACAAACGCAAAGGATTAAAAAATTATTTATTTCTGTGCTATGATGATACGGAAGAAAACAAATGATGGAATGTGTATTCCTTATATTCTTTTCTCTGTACCACTTTTTCTAAGTCGCTCTTCATATGCCAGTTTTTCGTTGATGTATATACTAACTAACTGACTAACTTAACCTAGTAATTCAGGTTGTCAAACTTTGAAATCATATAGTGAAAGGTAGCTGAAGCAACATACAAAAATATTATAGTGGGTATGATTGAAGGTGAAAGGAAAATTCGAAATGCGCCTGGATTTAAACCAGTGACCAACGGGTTTCCGCCTGGTGCTTTGCCAAAAGAGATAAGAGATCCAACTGCTGACCAGATTTTTATTTAACTTCATTCATCAAGGGTTTTTCCCGACTACCATGTGAATTCGTGATGCGTTACTACCACTTGATAGAGCCGGAAACCCAGTGGTCTCTGGTTCGAGTCCAGCCGCAGTCCAGATTTTCATTCCCCCTTCAGTCATCACTCAGTATAAATACTAGTCTGCAAAGCACGGCTACCACAGACAGTCCAAATGATAAAAATACCGTAAGCGACAAGATGATTACAGTATACAAAAGACGTTAAATGATTAGGACGTAAATAAAAAAGAATACTTATTATATTATAGTTTACTTAGTGTCTAGCGATGGAATCCAGGACGCACGTTTCATCCTATTTTGGACTTTCCAGCTAGATGAATCTGTGCCCCAGCGAGACTGAGGCCTAGTGCACATCGCCTCGCATGCTAAAGCATTTTCCACCAAGATAGTGAAGCGATATGTGCTAGTCTACAATCGCAATGGGAACACTATCACTGACTGGGGATGTAGGTATATCCAGCTGACGAGGTACAAACAAGATGAAACACACTTCCTAGGCTTCACGACTAGCTGCCAAGTAAACCGTGACATAATGAATGTTCAGATAATATCGAGGTACAAACAAAGAAGCCAATCTGCCAACACAGGTTGAGGAATTCTATCCATTATAACAACGTGAGATTACAAGTACCAATAAATACATAAGGGCTAATACTTTTCGATAGCCACTCAAGATTTTGGAGATACGGAGTTAAAGGCTGAATATATGATGTGGCTAAGAGTTTTTGAACACATATGTGTTCACATCACTGCTCATTTTTAAGTAGAACTGCATAGTGGGAGATTACTAGCCTGCACTGACTCAGATGGTTCGGTATGTTTCTCTTACAGCGGTTCATCGTCTCCTCCAAGATACAGCTTCAATTGAAGTAGAAATTGGTTGACTTGACTAATAAACGGTATTGATTCATGAAGTCTTTGGCTGTTGTTCTGCGTAATTTGGAAATGAAGGTTCAAACTGTTAGAATGTGTGATATGTTGTGAGTCAGTGGTTGAAGAATCGTGATTACCATGACTACAAGCTTATTGTATAAACAGAGATGCATTTACTATCCACTACCTTTGAAATTCTGGACAACTTTAACAGCTCTCATTGAATTATTACCGTTCCTGTGGTACGTTTTACATTGGTTGATATTTGTTTCCCTTTTATTAGCTGCTACGAGTTGTAGTAGCTCGAAGTGACACTTTTTTGTGTAAGATTCCATGTGTTGTGTATCTGACTTTTATATTATCAAATCTTGTGTTAAATCGACGCTGTTTTTATATTTGTAACTCCTAACTGTTACTAACTTAGAATTTAAGGCTAGAAGACGGGCAATATTGTAAATAGCTTTGTTATGCAGTTAAAGGCTTCGTAAATTGATAACACTCAATACCTTGACCCGCCTTAACGATCATCTATAGAAAAATTTCGCATAATACCTATTAGTTTGCATAGTAATGACCCATAAAATTCAACTCTGTAGAACATTTTACTTCGTTTATGGGGTTTTATGCCAGACATTCTCAAGAGGATGGATGTTGAATACGAGTGAACGTCACTTTTGCAAAAAATTGATTTGACAGCAAGATTTACGTGACTTGAGAAGTGTATGGTAACCAGACAAATGCTTGGCTATGCTTTGAGTTTGTTGTTTATTGTTGTAAGACAGACTGATATTTTAAAGGATGAAATAAAAAAGTTCTGGGAGTGAAAACTGAACTGTTACAATTTTTAACATTTCTCACTTAAATCAACAAACTGAAACGTGTCGCGTAGGCTGTTTCAAAATTTCATTCTTAACTGGATCCACTATCTTGACGAACCATTTTGTAAGTAAATAGTAAGGATAATTGGTCATGTCTAGAATTAAATAAAACGGAACACCTTATTTGTGCACTTTGGGGTAACTATGTAGTCGAGAGATCGAGGAACCTGATGGATAGAACTGTTCAGAGAGTTCACTGCTAATCATTCCTTCATCTTTCATCTTCATTGTCTTGGACAATTAAAAGTGTGTTTCACTTTGTGGTACGGAACAATTACTGTGATATGCTGAAGGCGTTTTTTGTACTTGATTTACTTCACCTCTTCAGATCTCAGGAATTAACATGAAACTGGAATCTCAGAAGTAATTATCAGTGTAAAGTAAATTGCCATTCACGCTGATAGTATTAAAAAGTTGATTGGTTTTGTGTCGGGCATCATTTGCGAATATAGTTATACATGATTAAAGAAAAATTGTTATATAGTCTTTTGTCTTTCTTACTGACACTTCAGCTTCCAACACTTTCAGGTACAATACATTCTTTGAATAAACCAAGTTCCTATAGACACCGGTATAAGTTTTCAATGGCTGTTATCAAATAACAGTGATTATCGATACCGTTTATTTAGCTACGTTGAACTTTCTAAGTTACACACAGAGTGGAACAAATTAAGATAAAAAGCATTCCACAACCTCAAATATCTCATTTAGATATGGAAGTAAACCCATTTCGACGAAATCATTCTCTTAACTGTACATTCGTGAATATATGATATAAAGGATAAAACATTCCAGACTAATTTCCTATCAAAGGTCAGTATAAATCGCACCACCAAGGAGGGTTACATAATGGAGAGGTAAACAGAATGGTAACCAAATTAAAATAGTTACGTCATATGTTGGGTTATCAAGAGTGATGGCTACTCTACGATGGCCATAGTGAAGAAAAAGGTTGTACATGCTTCTTTCGAATCCCTAATGCTTCAGCTATGCCCATGCATCTTAGCCTCATTCCTTTCGAAAGGCTTGGTTGCACTTTGTACGGAATTTTGAAGGACTTGTCAAAACGAACCAAATGTCTTGAATTTATTAAGTGTTCTGTTATAAAGCTGAGTATGCATCGCCGTTCTTCCCTTTTCAGCCAAGTTGGATAGTCTTCGCGAGTGCATTGCATAAGGTGGAGCATGTTACAGCCAATGAACCTGACTCCATAGGAGTAAGTAAACTGATATTCACACATTGGTGTGACTCAATACTCCAGCTTATCTTTTGTATACTAACGAATGAGTTTCTGACAAGAGTTTCATTTTTACTGATTTATTAGGTTTATCACACAGTGAAACAGTATAGTCCTAATTAGGACTATATAACGGATTTCTCAAAGTTGTGTAGTTATCTTGATATGACTATGGACAATAAATTATGTCCGAAACGCAATCCAGTAAACAATACTGTTACACTGTGGTAAATCTAATGAGTCAATAAAAATGGAATTACATTCTACCACAATGCACAAGTTCTACTCTTATATATTTTTGACAAGAGAATATGATTCTAAAATTGGTGGTAAAGCACGTTCTATTTTTGGACCTCGATAATCTCTTTCTAAGTACATCCACCACATAATCTCCCTTGAATTCGAGTTTCAACACTAAGATTTTTTCTGAGTTTTAGACTCCTTTTATCAGTATAACGTAGGCTATAAGGGACACTATTGAGCGATGTCCTTCAACATGAACTATGGCTTTGTCCTAATGTGGTAAAACAATTAGGTACAGTTATCAAACCTTTCATAAAAACGATATGTTATGTCTTCCACATCAATCTTCTAGTATATGTGGTCTGTAATTGATACGCAATGCAAGACACAGTTCAAAATAGATACATTCCCTTAAAAGTTTACAAGAGATAAACGATTATGCTAATTAAGCTGGTTGTAACTAGCATTCAGGCGATATCGAGGCATCCGCGTAGAAGCCCATAAGCCAATAGACGTCGAACAATTCAATCCAATAAAACAACGGAAAATTACAAGTATATCAGTAAATAGTAAGATAAGGGATTAATAATATCACAGAATAAACTCATAATACTACTTTTTCTTATTCGGTGATTCATTAACGTACTGGTCGCGGAACCTGAGGGTCTTGGGTCTGATCTCTGGGTGCCGTGGGTGCGCACTGCCGATGAGTCTCATATTGGGAAGAAACGGCTGTTCAATGCTTCCAGGTCTCCAATGTTTCTCCAGCTGATGTCAGGCCATGATGAACACCAGCCTGAAATAAATAAATAAGTCCCCAGCAACCTCCAAATGGGATCAGGTAATAATTTAATCACTTAGTGTTATTCAAAAGTTTTGGTAATAAACTGCACTGCCTACTGATATGAGGGGAACAATTATTTCCAAGTTGACTGGGTTTGTAAGGATAGTGTTTTTCACTTCGTTTAGGTTTGTATCTGAAAAGCTACTCAAACAGTAAAAGAAGACTGAACTTTCTTATGAATTATTGTATCGACTGAAATATCTTAGAGAAAAAATAAAGTAAAATTTCTTTCCAAGTCTTAATTTACTGAATCTGTGTAGTTTTTTCTTCCATTGCTTTTATTCACGATCAGATGGTGGATACCGTTTGCGAGATCTGTTTTCTGTTAGAACCAATCAAGTAAACAAACAGGGTTAACGAATTGGAAGAGTAATATGTAGTCTAGA